TTGACCAGGATGGTCTCGATCTCTTGACCTCGTGATCCACCTGCCTCGGCCTCCCAAAGTGCTGGGATTACAGGCGTGAGCCACTGCGCCCGGCTGTCCCCCAGGTTTAAATGATTCTCCTGCCTCAGCCTCCCAAGTAGCTGGGATTACAGGTGACCACCACTATGCCCGGCTAATATTTGTATATTTAGTAGAGACGGGGTTTCACCATGTTAGGCTGGTCTCAAACTCATGATCTCAGGTGATCTGCTCACCTTGGCCTCCCAAAGTGCTGGGATTATAGGCGTGTGCCACCAGGCCCGGCCTTAGCTCCTACTTCTAATTGAGAACTTACAGTGTTTGGTTTTCCGTTCCTGGATTACTTCACTTAGAGTAATGGCCTCTAGCTCCATTGAGACCTTGAGTGGTGGTTCATTGAGAACTTTAGTTAAGTTGACTTTAGTCAATTAACTCAACTTTAGTTCAGAAAATAGGTGAAACCAGCTGGGCATGGGAGCACCTGCCTATAGTCCCAGCTACTCAGTAGGCTGAGACGGGAGGATTGCTTGAGCCCAGGACTTTGACGCTGCAGGGAGCTATGATGGAGCCACTGCACTCTAGCCTTGGTGATACAAGACCCTGTCTCTTTAAAAAAAAAAAAAAAAAGTGTATGAACCTGTTTTATGTAGAACAACACCAACAGAACATATAATCCATTTATGTAACATAGCAACAACAAGCCAAATGGTAATATACAACTCTATTTCTGTATGTAAATACGGTAAACATTTTCTGGAAGGTTACATGTAACTGTGATACCTGTGGCTTCCTCTGGGGAATGAGTTGGGTCTAGGGAAGAAGGACTTTCACTTTGGGTGTATTTTTTCAATTTTGTATAAGCAAAATGTATTCCTTTTTTTAAGTCTCAGCAAAGTTGTTAAATTCATCTTTCAGTTGTGTGAGCCTTATAGAGCAGGGTTAATGCTGTAATGTGACCTTATTACAGATTCACTGAATATTTTTGTACGTTTTGTGAAAAGTTAGGGAAAATTTAAAACAGGAACTTAAGATTGGCATGTAAATGCCTAAGTTTTTCTGAGTTTGATAAACTTGTCTAGGTTATTTGAGGAAGTTGCATGATAATTGAATTCTTGAGAAGTGATTGAATTGTGAATTAAAGTGAGACAATTATGAAACAACAATTTTAGACTCTCCTGAATAAAGCTAAGGTTTTATTCCATTTTGGAGTACCAGAAGGCTACAGATATATTTGATGGTACAGTTGTTACAGACTAGATGATTTATTTCTGATTGCAGAGCTAATTTCTAGCTTCTTGAAGTAGAAGTACTCAAAACATTGAGTCTCAGATATGGGACCAAAACTGCTGGAATTGACTGTGATAGAAACATTTTGATGGCATTTTACACTTCAGTAATGATGTCAGCAGTATCATATCTAGCAGAAATTATGGTAAAACTTTAGTACTTATTGCATGAGAAGTGTTCATCCTAGAAGGGAGGATGATTGGGTGCTCATGTTCATTTGATTCTAATACAGTCCCATGGAGCGTGGAACTGTTAGTATCTTAATAGAGTAAGAAACTGAGGTTCAGAGAGGTTAAGTAACTTGCCGAATAACTAGTAAGTGGCAAACTGGGATTCCATCCCCAGCAGCCACACCTGAGCCTGCATTCTTAGCCCTTGTAGGTGGTATCAACTTGGATGTCTGAAAGGCCTTTCGGATTTGCTTTAATTCAGAACAGAACTCATGAGCTTTACTCCCCTCCACCCTCACCTTGGTATTTTTTATGATTTTGTCTCATTAAATGTCGTCTTCTTTCATCCAATTGCTGAAGTCAGAAACGAGGTAAATAATCCTTAACACTTTCTTCCAGTTAAATCAGTCCTCAGTCTAGGTATCATTAACTCATTTAAAATTTTGAATAGTTCTTGAATCCTTTCACTTTCCTTTATTTCTACGGCTGCCAATCTCAGCCAAACCTGTTATCTGTTGATTGGACTCGAATTGCGTCTTGAAACTCCCACCCGTATCTCCTTCTGGTATGATCTCCAAGTATAGAATCTATTTCCCCTCAGTTTTATATGTGCATGTGTGTATGTTTATACCTGTGTAAACTCCTTCAATGGTTACTCCTTGTTCTTAGGATAAAGGCCAGACTTTTTAGCAGGATATTTCTGGCCGGTATGTGCTTACCTCTCTGCTTTCATTGGTAACACTCTTCTCCCCCTAGTAGGTGACAGGACGTTCAGTTGGGACCATGACTAGTTTATGCTTTTCCTGTGTTTCCTCTGCCTGGCAGTCAGCGCGCCTCCTTCACTCTCACTTTAACTCTTACTCATCCTTCCACCCTCCACTGTCTTGGGTCAGCTTTCCCTGACCATCTCCTTTTGCCCTAGATCATTGTTAGTTTCGGTTTCAAGTTACTATAGCACCACTTATAGCTTGTTAAGCATTTTGAATTGATTATTAATGATTTTTATGATTATTAATGTTTGTATTTCCCTCCTGGACTCTAGTTCCTTGGCCGCTGATCACCATCATACTACTCAGTATGTTTGATGAATGGACACATTTAGTCTTAGCTGCTTGATTTTCTTCCTGAGGAAACTGAAGATTGAACAGTATAACATAGTTTTGTTCAAGTATAGAGTTAGATTGCCACTTAATAGCTGAAGGAAGTTACTTCACCTCTCCAAGTCTCCATTTCTTTATCTGTTAACTAAGGATAAAAATAGTGCCAACGTCTTGGGTTGTGGTGGGGATTATTTGAGTTAATTCACTTAAAGCACCTAGGGTAGTGCCTAAGGCCTACTGGTGGTAGCTGTTGTCAATAGTATTGGGATCTACCCAAGGTTGTTCCCAAGGTTTAATACAGAGCTTGTCAGATACCAGTCCTTTATGCTTTTCTCATTCCAAATGAGAGCATTTGGAATTCTTGCAAACTGATTCTTTTGTGAGCAGAAGTTCATCTTTATACTTAAAAAATGGGTCTGCACAGTTTCTTGCACAGCGAAGGCATGTTATATTTTGTTGTCTTCAGTTTAACTCAGTTGCAAATAAGAACCATACCCACCTCTGACTCAGTGGAAGGTATTTCTGATACACAGTGAAAAATTTGTTTACTTCAGGAACAAGAAAGTTAGTAGAGGTTGTACAAACTCTACATATCAAATTAAGGTCTTTGAAGTTAGCTATTTTGAAATAAATAATGAAAGGATTTTAAGTAACAGGTGAATCTTTGCATAGTATTGCTTTTAGAAAATTGGTGACTGAAAGGAACGGGAGGCTGGGTTTAGATGATGGTCTTTGATTAAAAAATGGTGCAGTTTGGAGTGATAGCTGGGGTTGTGGGACACATAATGAACTTTGTTTTTTATAGATTGAGTTGGAAGTACTTGTTGGACATCTAAATGGAAGTGCCCTCAGGTTAAGTATATCAGAGAGAAATCAGGAGAGAAGCCTGGGATAGAATTACTGAAAACTATGTAGTATGACCAAAAAAAAAAAAAACTGAGATTTTTTTTTGGAGACGGAGTTTCATTCTTGTTGCCCAGGCTGGAGTGCAATGGCGTGATCTAGGCTCACTGCAACCTCTGCCTCCCAGGTTCAAGTGATTCTCCTGCCTCAGCCTCCTGAGTTCCTGGGATTACAGGCACACGCCACCACTCCTGGCTAATTTGTATTTTTAGTACAGACGGGGCTTTCTCCATGTTGGTCAGGCTGGTCTCGAGCTCCCAATCTCAGGTGATCCACCCGCCTCGGCCTCTCAAAGTGCTGGGCTTACAGGTATGAGCTACTGCGTCTGACCTAAAAAATCGAGATATTAACAACTGGCATCCTAGCAGAAAGCAAATGATATAATACCTGAATGTGACAAGGTTTATTAGCTGTTACTTCTGTATCTGCTTGAAGATGATGAAACCACATTTTAAATAGTATCCTTTAACTTAAAATTTTCATTAATAGATGTGGTCTTCCCTCTAGTTTGAGTTAGTGATGTAAAATTTACCAAGACATTGCAAATTACCTTGGCGCTTAAGAAGAGTTAAATTGAAGGGAACATGATGTCATGAATTTCTTTGATTTGTTAGGTTCAAAGTTAGCTAGATGTGATGTAGAGTCTGTGTTCTTTAAATGCCTCACTCACTCAAGTGCTTGTTCTTTTTTTCTCCTTTAACTAGGAATTGTGGTGCTTGGAATAAACAGAGCTTATGGCAAAAATTCACTCAGTAAAAATCTTATAAAAATGGTGAGTGTAAAGATTAAACTGTTTACTTCTAATATTAAGATACCTTATTGTCATCAATATAAAAACATTTTTTTGGTCTCTTTTTCCTCCTATGCTTCGTCTTTCTGTTTAGCTATCAAAAGCTGTGGATGCTTTGAAATCTGATAAGAAAGTACGGACCATAATAATCAGGAGTGAAGTCCCAGGGATATTCTGTGCTGGTATGTAAATATGTTGTGTTATAAAATTAAACTGTGTCTTATTTTTCCTCAGTAATAGTTTGTTTTCCATTAGAATGTTCTATGGTTTGAACACCATTACTCCTCTTTGTGTTTTACTGATTTACAAGAAAAAAACATGCTTAGTCTGTCAGCATTAGAAAGAAGCTTTTGCAACTTGTAGATTGTTTCAGAAGTTGAAAAAAAAAATCTTTGAGCCATTAAAATACATGTTTGTAGTACGTGAAGTACAATATTTGTTGGTTGTGTCTTAATTGTGGCCAATATTCTTTAGTTTCAGTCATTTTCTTTGAGATAGAGTCTTGCCCTGTCGCCCAGGCTGGAGTGCAGTGGCATGATCTCAGCTCACTGCAGTCTCTGCCTTCTGGGTTCAAGCGATTATCCTGCCTCAGCCTCCTGAGTAGTTGGGATTACACGTGTCCACCACCTTGACCTGCTAATTTTTTGTATTTTGAATAGAGACAGGGTTTCACCATGTTGGCCAGGCTGGTCTCGAACTCCTGATCTCAAATGATCCACCATTCTTGGCCTCCCAAAATGCTGGGATTACAGGGGTGAGCCACTGAGCCTGGCTCCTCGTTTCATTCTTAAGCGTTCTCAGTTTTTTTAAGCTTCAATCTCTGTGACTTCTGCCTTAAAATATTGCAGAGTAGTGTGATATTTAGAAATATGCAATATAAATATTTTTGCTTTTGATAAGGTTTTATTGCCTTCTTAATACATTTCTTAAAATGCAGGATATCTAAAAAAAATAGTTTTAACTCCAGTTGAGTAATCAAAGAGTGTAGATTTATTATCCTCACTGCCAGGGTTATGATGTTGTGCAGTTTAGATTTCCATTTTTACATTTGTCAAATGCCAGTAATACTGTCTGCTTAGTAGGCGTGCTCATAAGCGTTTTACATATATTTTGAGTTCTTTTTTTTAAAACAATATGTAAGACTTATACCAAGATAATTAGGATTCTTATGTCTAGTTTTAGGGACCACGTGAATATGATCTGGAGATAAAGGAGTCTAACACTATGACTAATGGTTGAGAAGTTCTCTAGAGGCCGTTGGATGGCTTATTGGGAAGACGTAGAGTAGCTTTAGGGTTTTTAAAGAAGGCCCAATTATATGAATCTTTGAGGAGTGATAACGATGTTGTGAAGACAGATTAACATTTTAAAAGTAGATGTTAGTGGTCATCCTGGCATTGTTTTTCTGTTGGCAGTAGGTTTTATAATTATCACACTGTAGTTACTGGTGGGATTCTTTTTATTTTACCTGTTCATTTGGAGCCCATTTGTTTAGGATTTCTGCGTTAGGAATATGCTTTGAAAAAGGCTTTAATGCTTTGGCACAGTTTGTGGCTGTCTGTTACAGATTGCCTTTTTGAGGACATGCAAAAATGTCCTCAAATAATATAGCACATGCTGTTTATCAGAATAACATGTTAGCCTTGAGTACTTTTTTTTTTTTTTTTTTTTATGGAATTTTGCTCTTGTTGTCCAGGCTGGAGTACAATGGCACTATCTGGGCTCCCTGCAACCTCTGCCTCCTGGGTTCAAGCAATTCTCCTGACTCAGCCTCCTGAGTAGCTAGGATGACAGGCATACACTACCACCCCTGGCTAATTTTGTATTTTTAGTAGGGATAGGGTTTCTCCATGTTAATCAGGCTGGCCCCGAACTCCCAACCTCAGGTGATCTGCCTGCCTTGGCCTTCCAAAGTGCTGGGATTACAGGATGAGCCGCTGTGCTCAGCTGCCTTGAGTACTTTTCAACAAGTTAATTTAATCTATATACTTTGCTTTATGTGCTTTTAAACTTTTGTACAATCAGGATAATCTTTTAACTCATAAGATTTGTAACTGTATTTTGTCAACAGAAATCTATGTTTTAATTATGGAAAAATTGGGGCGTGTCATCTCTTTTAGTAATTCAGTATATATGACGGAACTATTATTTCATATTTCTCTGAAAGATTTTTCTTCCTTTCTTTTTTTTTTGAGGTGGAGTTTCACTCTTGTTGCCAAGGATGGAGTGCAATGCCGTGATTTTGGCTTACTGCAACCTCCACCTCCCAGGTTCAAGCAATTCTCCTGCCTCAGCCTGCTGAGTAACTGGGATTATGGGCACAAGCCACCACGACAGGCTAATTTTTTGTATTTTAATAGAGATGGGGTTTCACCATGTTGGCCAGGCTGGTCTTGAACTCCTGACCTCAGGTGATCCTTCCACCTTGGCCTCCCAAAGTTCTGGGATTATGGGCATGAGACATAGCACCCAGCGCCTTTCTTACATATATTTACATTTATAGGCTGACCAGTAGGTCCGTCTTTTAATATGTACATATGAAATAAAATTCTAGGTAAATAAAATCTCTTTACATTGTTTTAAAGAATATTTAAACTTAAAGCCTATTTTAGTATAAACATCTTAATCAGGCCACATTTATCTGTTATTGTTGAAGAATGCAGTCTTTCGCATAATTGACACTTTAAATTGTATTCCAAAGTAGTAATATTAAAAGAAACATCAAAAACACAGTGTACCATTTGTTGATTATTCTTTTAGCCCCTTCTTCATCCCTTCAAAGTCATCATTTTCCCTTTTCTTACTCTGCCCCCACAAAGGTTTCTCTGTATTTATTAATACCTGTATCCCAGTGATACCTTGTTCATTTCTAAACACTTAAAGCTTAGCAAATGGTCTTGCATCAAATTTCTTTAGCATAGGAACATCTCTAATTCTTTGAGAATCATCTTTTGCATTCTCAGATCACAGCACACTGTAGGGACTCAGCATGTATTTGCCGGAATTAATCAGCCTTTAAACTGTGCTTTAATTCACTGATTTTTTTTCAGGAATGTTTAGGATATAATAAGCAGCTTCTCTGAATTGTCTCATACCACTCTCCTATTTACTGACAGTAAGTTTGACGAGATTTTTTTTCTAAAATGCTGCAAAACAGATAAACATTATTAAAGAAATTCCTAAGGCCACGTATTGTGGCTCACGCCTGTAATCCTAGCACTTTGGGAGGCCAAGGCGGGTGGATCACCCAAGGTCAGGAGTTCGAAACCAGTCTGGCCAACATGGTGAAACCTTGTCTGTACTAAAAATACAAAAAATTAGCCTGCGTGGTGGTGGGTGCCTGTAATCCCAGCTACCTGCGAGGCTGAGGTAGCAGAATTGTTTGAACCGAGAAGGTGAGTGAGCTGAGATCATGCCCCTGCACTCCAGCCTAGGTGACTGAGTGAAAATCCATCTCAGAAAAAAAAGAAAAAGATTAGTGGGGCATGCCTGTAATCCCAGCATCCTGAAGCACAAGAATTACTTGAGCCCAGGAGGCGGAGCTTGCAGTGAGCTGAGATCACGCCACGGCACTCCAGCCTGGTCGACAGAGCCAGATCCTGTCAAAAAAAGAGATTCTTACAGGTGCCTTGCAGGTGATTTCTAACTTCTCATTTAAATCTACCTATTATTTAGGATTGTTAAGTACTTACATTTTAAGTTTTTTAATCAAATTTTAGTTTTAAAAAGTAGGATGGTAGGTCAAAATGTGTGAAAATGTATACAAAGAGAAGAGAACTCTCTCTAACCCTACTTCTCTGCTTTATTCATCCCCTAATAAAAATAACCATTATTATGTTTATCCGTCTAGTATTTTATTATATATGTGTATACATTCACACATACACACAAATAGAGTCATGTGCTGCATAATAACATTTTGGTTAACAATGGCCTGCATTATACAATGCTGGTCCCATGAGATTATTTGTTTTATATTTTTGTGACGGAGTCTCACTCTGTCACCCAGGCAGGAGTGTAATGGTGTGATCTCATCTCACTGTAACCTCTGCCTCCAAGATTCAAATGATTCTCATGCCTCGGCCTCCTGAGTAGCTGAGATACAGGTGTGTGTCACCATGCCTGGCTAAATTTTGTAATTTTAGTGGAGTTGGGGTTTTACCGTGCTGCCTAGGCTGTCTTGAATTCCTGACCTCAGGTGACCCACCTGCCTCAGCCTCCCAAAGTGCTGGGATTACAGGCGTGAGCCACTGTGCCTGACCTCATAAAATTATAATACTATATTTTTACTGTACCTTTTCTGTTTAGGTACATATAAATACTTAGCATTGTGTTACAGTTATCTACAGCATTCAGTACAGTCACATGCTGTATAGGTTTGTAGCCTAAGAGCAGTAGGTTATACCACATGTCGTATTTATGTGGGGGATGGTTTCAGGATGAAACTGTTCCACCTCAGATCATCAGGCAGTTAGATTCTCATAAGGGGAGTACAACCTAGATCCCTTGCATGCATAGTTCACAGTAGGCTTTGTGTTCCTATGAGAATCTAATGTGGCCACTGATCTGACAGGAGGCGCAGCTCAGGCAGTAATGCTCCCTTGCCTGTGCTCACCTCCTGCTGTGCTGCCTTGTTGCTAGCAGGCCACAGACCAGTACGGTTCCTCAGCTTGGGGATTGGGGACCCCTGGCCTATACCATCTAGGTTTGTGTAAGTATACTCTATGATATTTATACAAGGATGAAATATCCTAAGGACTCATTTCTTAGAATGTACTCTTTAAGTGACGCATTATTGTATACAGGTGCACTCGTAGAATGTTAAGTAGATATTTAAAGTGATACATATAAAGACATATAAATATTATACATATAAAGTGATACACACGAAGAGTGGAAAATACCTGTTATAAGCCTAGAGAGAGTTGTATATAAAATGTTACGGCCATTATTACTGTAGCTGTGTAAACTATGTCTACCAATAAGATCACAGCTGTAGTTCCGGCACTTTGGGAGGCTGAGGCAGGCAGTCGGCTTGAGTCTAGGAGTTCAATACCAGCCTGGGCAACATGGCAAAACCCTGTCTAAGCCAGGCATGGTGGCACGTGCCTGTATTCCTAGCTACTCAGGGGGCTTAGGTGGGACAGTCGCTTGAACTTGCAGGATCAAGGCTGCAAGCCAT